ATTTATGATTTTCTAAAGAAATAAGACATCTGGCTTAATGTTGAAGAAGTACTCAAACAGAGCTCTCTCAAAAAGTTAGCATTTCCAAATGCCTTTTGGAAAATTATCTTGATGTGTTGACTCTATATTTTTCCAGTTACGCAAGTAAAATGAATGAGATGTAGTGTTTTAGAACGACGTGCTCAACCCCCTGATATTATGTATGAGAAAAGTGATGTTGAGGGAGGTCAAGGGAAGGCAGAAGTGATGATGCTATAAATAGAACCCTAAAATTTATGGGAAAGCTATTTGGAGAAAGTGGAACACACTGGCCTGTTCAGTTTTGGCTCCAAGAAGGTCACCCTAACTTTAAGGAGCCCATGAGTCTCACATCCAATTTTACTGTTGGCAGAAGCAAAACCTTGTTGAATCCCTTAAAAGAAATGAATTTGCCAATGGGATAGCTTGCTTAATTTGGCAGACTGGAGAAGAAAAGCAAGAACTTCCAGTTCCTTTAGCCGTATCCACAGGGACAGCTCGATGTGCTCTCTGTCCCGCTCTGAGGGTTTGCTGACCTAGTTTGAAATGCTCCAGAAAAGAAACGCATCTGGCATTCCTGCAGGAAGACCCTTTCCCAGCCATTCTCACTGAGGAGCTCTTGTTTCTCTCCTTCTGCCTGAGGTCCAAATATCTTTGACTCACATGATTTCACCAGGTCACTGTCCTTTGTTTCTATATGCTGAGGATAAAAAGCATCAGCGTGTTGTGAACCAAAAGACACAGACATTTGTTGATCCCTGCCGTTATGTCCTCTTTTCTCTTCAAAATATGTCTGCTTTCTATCTTATGCTCTGTGTTCATGTCCATTTTTCAGTCTTGCCCCATAACTGACCTCTCATTTATAAAACTATGTAAGAAAACCCAGTGCAGCTGACACAAAAGCTACATCGCTAAGAACTATAGTGGACTTCTGGAAGACCTCACTCCAACAATGACAGACGTCCAACCACTGATCATTATGGACAGGATGTAAACCCTGCTGGTAGAGGGTGATGCCATGTTCTAACATGTGTCCTCTCTTTCGGGGCTGCTTTGCAATGAACAGTAGGACGTGGATCTATGAAAAGGTTCTACTTGCTTTCCATTGATGCCACAACAAACTAACACAAACCTGATAGCTTAAACCAACACAAATATTTTATCTTGTGATTCTACACGACAGGAATCTTACTGGGGTTTTGCAGGAATAAAAGCAACATGTTGGCAGGTCAGTGTTTCTTTCCGGAGGCTCTGGGAGAAAATGCATTTCATCGTCTTTCCCAGATTCTAGAGGCATTGTCACGGTCCCTTCCTCCATCTCAAGGTCACCAGTCACGGGGGGAGCTCACACATGCATCCCTCTGACCTTCTTCCGTGGGTGGATTTTCTCCCTCTGCCTCTCTTATTTTAAGGATCTTTTTGATTACACGGGACCACCTGACAATCCAGGATAATCTCTTCATCTCAGGTGTGTGACTTCATCACACCTTCACAGTCCCTTTTTCCATGTGAGGTGACACGGTCACAGGTTCTAGGATGAGGATGTGTACACCTTTGGGCGCATTACCACAAAGGTATTCGGTTGAGTTCTTCACCTCTAAAACTTATCTGAACTACCCAAGTTCTTAGTAAATCAACAATATCACCACTGGTTTGTATGTTAATCAATTTTATTTAGATTAGTGTGTAATGAAGGGACAATTGACTGTATAATATAATCTTCCTGTTAAGTGACAGCTCTGAGGGTAGCCCCAGCCAGGTGGAAAGTGACAGAAAAACTCACAATTCCAAAGATAGGTCTTATTTAGAAGAGCCAACTCCTGTGACATCCCCCGAGAACCAGATGTGGATATTTGTTTAATTCACACAAGAAATCTACACACGTGAACACACTCTGGAGTGCGATACCTTTGCAGGGCATGGCTCTGACCTTGGAGCATGACTTATGTAACTGTTACAAAGCCCTCGCTTCTGATTCTGTGTAAGAGGAGCCTGTACAGGAGTTACGCACTTTTGGGAACTTCAGTTATAGAAGTTAACTTGATATGCGTCGTCTAGCTATCTCCCTGCCCAGCAGTTTTCAAAAGTGCCTCCTATATACGAAAGCAGGGTCAGCACATAACGGCCCACAAGCAAATCTGGCCTGTAAGTTAAGAATGATTCTTACCTTGTTAAGTGGCTGAAAGAACATCAAAAAGAGTAATGCTTTTTTTACCCAGAAAAAATGACATGAAATGCAAATTTCAGTGTCCATAAGCAAAGTGTTATCGGAGCCCTACCACAGTGAACTCAGGTCTGTGTTTGCACGGGGCAGAGCTGAAAGCTGAATCAGAGACCATGAGACCCATAACCCCTAACATCGTCCAACTGGCCCATTGCAGGAGAAGTGTGTTGACTAAAGCAAAACTGATGTTTGGTGGGTAGGTGCTTGGAAAATGTGGGGGTGAAGAAAGGGACTGTTTATGGGCATTGCTGATGTTGATGAAGCTGAAACGCAATTCCATCTAGCATTTGAGATTGGAGTCACTCCAGGGGAATCTAATTTTTATATATATGCATAAAATTTTAAGGCAACAAAAAGTAAACATGGATTTCAGTTATAAAAATTTCAATAAATAGAAAGTAGGTAAGCTGGATAGACTGTGTGTGGCTGAATCCAGAACTCACTTCTGTCTTGGCCATTGTCAGTATTAGACAAAGAAGTATGTGACATCTTTCTAACAGAATTTGTAACATAATCTCACCAGAAAAAAAGGTGGGGAGGGAGCCTTCAAACTAAATATCAGAATGAAGAAATGCTTCTTGGAACCAGCCGTGCCCAACTCCCCGAGTCAGTACTACATAAATCCGGGCCAACAGGCAGATCTGAGTGGTGTATTTCCTCTTACAGAAGATTATTTCAAACAGTGACATAAACACTGTTACCATTGGTTACAGTCCGGGGCAGGCTTTTAACTTTAAATGGATCCTGCACATTTCTAAACCTGCAAGTAGAAACTGAACACCCTGACATCAGAAGGCTTGGCGACATGTTTCGTTTGATGCTGCTTTTCCTCCAGGTGATGCGGGAAGTAGGAGACAGTCTGGACCCGGCAAATCCTGTCCCTGGAGCTCAGGTTCCAGCTTGGCCAAGCAGCTGTGGTCCTCACAGGCCAGCCCGCGAAGGGCAGACAGGTTTCTGCTATGAGCCACTGGCTAAATTCCTACAGAGCCCCGACACCAGTGAGCATCGTTTTGAAAATAGATTTGCCAGCTGAGCTGCAAACTAACCATACAACGCATAGCCACTTGTCAGTAACATGGAGAACGTGCTTTAGGGCCATTTGCGGGCTATCCATGTAATTACGTTAACGCCTTGATGGCACTGTTTTCAAGTCCAGTTTACAGACGGGAAAACTGAGGCAACCCAGGTGTGCAGTGCCCCAAGTAGACCCAGCAGAGCCAGCCCATCGTCCTGCCTGACACATCCCAAACCAACGGCATGCCGCCAGCAGGGACTGGCCGTGTCACCGCCCCTCACACGGCCCGAGCTCTGCTCCCCAGAAGGCATGGGCTCCTCTGTGGGACCCAAAGTTTCTCAGGGTAGGAAGTAAATCACTAGCTTTTTTTGTGACAACTAAGCAACACATTGTAAAGTGGACCGGATCTTTTATAAGCTTAACCAGAGACTGACTGTGTCTGACGTTTGAAAGGTTTAATTGTGTTTCATATACTCCTTTACTCAAACATGATCGTCCCCCATCTCAGACCATCTTGACAGTTCTTGTTACCAGCCTCCTAAACACTCCCTTTCGTCATTTCCGTGGGAGCGGCCCCTGCCGTGAGTTCTGCAGGGAGCAGTGGACACACGGCGCGCGGTCAAGCATGAAAAGCCATGTATTTGAGACGACGTCCAGTGAAACGCAATTGCTCAGTGTTCCAATAGTGAACGGCAGGGGTTTACCTTTTGCCTCCTGCTTTTCCTTGTACGATGCAGTATGTTTGAGGTTCCGATGGCAAGAAATAAGAAATCAAAGGAATGTCTTCTCATTTATTTATCCTTAATAAAGAAGAATTAAAATGTAAAATAGCTGTGAAAGCCTTCGTTCCATAAAGAATAAATATAGCATTTGTGTGTGGGCAAAGGTAAAATTATCTGAATCACTTCAAAGTTTAACTGTAGCTAATAAATGAGCTCTGTTTTAAGCATCTGAAAATAAAGACTGTCGGTAGTCCATTTTAAAAGCGGGTTTGATGTAGGACATTTGCTCTGTTGGCTTACAAGGGGGATTTTTTTCTTCGTTCTCTTTTCCAGGCTGACGGGAATGAATCTTCCTTCTCCTGTTATCAGTAGCAAGAATTGGTTAAGACTCCATTTCACGTCTGACAGTAACCATCGACGCAAAGGATTTAATGCTCAGTTTCAAGGTAAGAATGTTCCATCTTGTAAGTAAAAAAAAAAAAAAAAGCAAATCTGCTGGTCCTTTCCAGCCCTGAAACCTTATGATTCTCTTGCTAAAGATGGAAGAAGAGATATAAGCTTGAAAATATCTTCTATTTCTTATATAANTTCTGAGGACAACTGTTATTTCACTGTGCTCATTTGCAGAATAAGAACTAATCGCCTGCCCTCATCTGTGGTTTCTGAGCAAGAAAGGAGGAGACAATACTGATTCTGATTAATCCTGGTGTGCTTCCCCAGGGAGAGGGACGATGCTGTTAACTTAGAACTTTTGATATTTGATTTGTGCATATAATTTTTAATCCCGATGGTACCGTTTTATATCAGACTGAGCCTAATTAGTTAATACTGAGTAATAAGGCAAAAGGATTTAAAATGATGCCAAGAGTGCTTTTCACAAAAGTGGAAGGCGGGGGGTGAACACCGCAGTCGTGTTTGCATTTGGAAAGAGGAGCTTGGAAGTTCACATGCTTCGGGCCAAAAATACGATTTCTCAGTTTCCCAGTATTTAAAGTTTGGGGAAACGTAAAGCTTCGAAATACTCAAGAACATTTGAGCAACTATCTTTCATGTTCTCTGTTAAATATATCTCAACATAGTGACCGCTCAAAATTTTTGGACATTCATCTTTCTTCTGGAATGAACATGAGGACAGCTCAGGATAAACTTTCAAATAACTTCAATGTAATTTTATGTTCTGCATATACTATACGGGTTCTTCTTATGTTCCCTTCTTCATATTTCAACTCATAGCATGACACATCTGTAACCTCAAAAATTAACCCTGTCATCAACATCTGTACTTTACTAAAATACCAACTTATTCGCCAACATAATTGCTTTTGGATATTTGAACGTAAATCACTGCTAATTTGTGTGGCTCATTTAGTAGGTAATTTTACGTCAAGTATGGCATGAAACCAGTGAATAATATGAATAGATTATTTTAAGACATAAAGTCCTTTAAACATTGACAATCGAAACAGTATCTCCATATGCCCCTCATCGGTATCCATGCTCACAGGTTTTCTGAAACTCCTCCCTTTTCCATGGCGGTCATTACAATTTACAGCTGCGTGACTTCTCTTAAATAATGGACACTTGCAAATCATTAGAAAATCCGAAGCCTAGTTCCTTAAAAGCTCAAGCATACAGCTAGCACCCTCACATTAGTAAGCATAGTGTCATTTCTGCTCAGATACTTTACCAGAAAAAGTAGTGAAAATATTTTACTTCTCTGAAAAGTAGATTTAAAGCAGC